TAGACTTATTCTGTGGTAGTTGAGTCCGACTCTAAGGTGTGGGTTTTTTGGAGGTATCCAGGGTGCCATGCTTTCAACTCAGATAGTGTCTGGCAGAAAGCTGGACTGATCAGAGAGGTCACCTCATTGCTTTTCTTTCTCTTATGGATCCCAGACTTGCACTACCTACGGTCTAACTTCAGAAAACAATTACTTCATACTGCACAGTTTTCTAGTTATTTGTGGTTGGAAGGTATAATTGTGTCTCACCCAAACATTTTGACATACTAATCTCCTATGCCTCCACCCTTACTTGGAAATAGGATCATTGCAAATGTGATCTATTAAGATGAGGCCATATTAGAACACTGTGGACTCCTGATCCAATATGACTGGTGTTCTTATAGGAAGACATCTGTATGAAGACAAAAAACACACAGGGAGACTACCACGTGGTAAGGGCAGATTTTGGAGTTTTGTAGCTGCAAGATAAGGAATGTCAAAGATTGCCAGCAAACCACCAGAGGCTAGGAATGGCAAAGAGAGACCCCTTTCCACATTTCAGAGATAGCATAGCCCTGTTGGTTTCAGACTTGTAGCTTTCAGAACAGAGAGAGTGAATCCTTTGGTCTTAAGATACCTGATTGGTGGTCCTCTGTTAGAGCAACACAAGAAGCTAATACAGAGAACTAGTTGGGTACAAGTTCTCTCATCATAGCTGGAAACCCAGCATTTTTGGAATTACTTTTTCACCTTGTACCTCCTCCAACAGATAAGAAGTTACTGGAAGGCAAATGTCACATTTTATTTATTTATTTATTTTTGTTTTCCATAACACCTATCTAACTTTGAATTTTATATGCATGTAAACTTTCTGTGACATTCATGGGCCTTCAAATATGGGTGGGTAAGGTGTAATCTAATTTTCTATAATTAAAATGATTTTATATCTGCGTCTCCATTCCATTGGGGTACACATATCAATTCATGGGTTTCTCATATCCTTCTTTCCTGGTGGTATCTAAATCCTGGGGAGTTTATGAAGTGCCAAGGTACTTTTAGGGAGGGTGCTTGGTCTTTGGTCATGGCTTACCTCTTCTTTACAATTCTCTTTTGTTGAGGTTATCAAGATCTAGCCACACTGATATGTGTTGAGTCCTCGGTGTGTCTGTCTTTTAGTCTCTGTGGCCCATGAAGGGGACCCTATGTCTCTCTGATTTCTGTCATGATGCTCTGCAGGGTTGATGGCGTCTCCTAGTTAATTTGTTTTTATGTGAATGAGAAAATGTTCATCCTGATCTGTACTAAGTGCTTCAGCATTTTCGGAGAGCACCTCAGGCCTTCCTATCGGGACAGAGTCTAGAGCCATCTGTGGATTTTCCATTACTAGTATACAACTTACTAGTATTCAACTTTGCATATTTGGTTGCTTAAAACAGCATGGACTTATTGACTTACAGTTCTGTAGTTCAGAAGTCTGGCACAGGCTTCCCTGAGTTAATATCCAGGTGTGTTCTGGGCACATTCCATTCTGGGGTTGTTGGAAAGAATCCATTTCCTCGCCTCTTCCCGTTTCTAGGGGCCACCTGGGCTCCTTGACTCAGGCACCCTTCCACCTTCAAGGCTGGCAGTGTGTCTCTCTGACCTGCTCCCATCACCCATGAGCCTGCTTCTCTCCTCCATGTTTAAAGACCCCTGAGGTTATGTCAGACACCCCTGCATAGTTCAGGACACTCTCACTATTTTATGGTCGTCCAATTAGAAACTCTGATTTCATCTTCAACTTTACTTCTTTGCCATTAACCTAACATCTGCACAGTTTCTAGGGATAGGATGAGGTCCCTCAGGGGACCGTTACTCTGCTTGCCACAAGCCATCCCTATTACCAGTCTCTAACTGGTGTGGCATGGAAGGCCTGTGCCCTTAGAACTGCTGAACTGATGATGGTCCTGCTGTCTCCTTCCCCTCTTCCTGATCAGGGTGCCGATGGGTAGACGGTAGGGCACTGTCTTGGTCCATTTGTGCTGCATCCCACAGACTTGCAATTTAAAATGAGCAAAAGTCTGGCCTCTGCTGAGGGGCTTCTTATGGCAGGTGGTGGATGGGCACAGAGAAGAAAAGAGAGAAGGGAGAGGAGAGAACGAGATGGAAGGTGTCCTTGCCTAAGGAATGCTTTCTTCAATAATGGCATTAATCTGCTGATGAGGGCAGAGCCCTCATGGCCTCGTCGCTTCTTAAAGGTCCCACCTCTTGACTGTTAAAATGGAGGTTGTTTCTGCCACGTGCTTTCAAACCACAGCAGGTACAGAGATGGCAGAGCTCAGGACATTCAGGAACATCTGTACGGCTGACTCACCCCATTTCCATCAACCCAGGTAGTCCTTCACTCTTCTGAGGGGACAACACACACATTTGCAGTCATCTTCCAAATCTATTACATAAGGGGAGATTTCTGTGCTAAAGTAAAAAAAAGGAGCTAGCTCTTCTTGCCGTTCTCTTCATGTATGGCACTTTATTCTGTCAGTGTTGAGCCAGTAAGAATCTCAGTAGGGAATGGGAGTTTGGCCAAGTGGCTGGGATGCCCGCGTTTCACCAGGGGGTACCTAATCTCAACTGACAGTTCTGGCCCCTGACTCCAGCTTCCTGCCAAAATAGATCTAGGGAGGCAGATGACTCGAACAGCTGTGTTCCTGCCACCCACATGGGAGACCCAGGTTGAATTCCTGGCTATTAGCTCTGGCTCCTGCCCAGTCCTGGCCAGTGCAGGCAGGTAAAGAGAGGAATAGTGGATGAGAACTTTCCGTCCCTCTCTGCTTTTCAAATAAACAAAAATCAAATAGAACCTTGTGCCCAGGAGAAGGGCAGGGAGAGAGCAGAGTGTAGATTCAAGCCAGGCTTCAGCTAGCGAGCCTGGCTGACAGCTCCTCATCCAGGCCAGATGTTTAGCTCAGTCTCTCTCTCGGAGAGCTGCAGCCAGAGAGGAGACGACTTTTATCCACATCATCATTTCAATACATGAATGGATCGAATGATTGGATGAGTAGGCAGTGTTCCCGATGGGGATGGAGAATGAGGAGGTATTTTCCTAAGGCATCAACCATATGGAAGGAGCTCCAAGCTGCTGAGTTGTGACAGTGCTCAGGGAGTCAGGGGGCCATCTGGTGACTCTGATCTAACTGATGTGTCCTTCACCCTCCAATCTGCTGTGCCATCTCTACAGAGAAAGACCACATTGTTCTCTGTGCTTGGGAGCAACATAGAACCAAGGCAGCCAGTGATTTACATCCTGTCTTGTAGGCTGTGCAGGCATGAAAACCTGCCAGCAAAAAGAAAGTGCGACATGGTCTCATCAAGAGCAAAGCCAGTTCTCTCTTCTGTGTATTTGCTGCCACCTTTTGTCCCTCAACCCCCATCCCACTCAGCCTAACTCAATAAAAATCCCTGGGCAGAAAAGGCAAGAAAGGAGAAATGGGCTGTGTGTGCACATATTCATCTTGGGCTTGTTCCCTGCCACCCTGACGTGCATAGACATTATATCAAATCCTGTTAACAGATCTACAAAAGTTGAGATTGGACAATTGTAAACCATCATTGACTTTCTTGGTTGGCCACAACTATTTCTCTCCACATATTCTAAATGTTCACTAAATGCACACCCTGTTTATCCCTTGATTTATTATTTGAATAAATGTAATAAGAAGATTAATTGCATTTAGAGAATATTAAAAACAAAACACACCCCTCACAAGTAGAGTGCATTCAAATGCAAACAAAAATTGTGCCACAGCTGACACTGTCAGAAGTGAGAGCTTCAACATTAACTTGGAATTCTGTTCCTGCAGCATCAGCAACAATAACAAGTCCATTTCATCACTAGACCCTGATGAAATGGGAAAGCGTTACAAATGCCTGATTTGCTTCAGGCTCATTCTTCCTGTTCAGCCACTTCTACTGCTTCCTTTCTTAGGTGCCCCCCACCCCCTAGTCATTCCACCACATCCAACCCAATTTGAAAATTGTTTTGAAAATGAAATCTTCAGAAAACAGACCGTGACAGAGACAGAGAAGAGGCGGGTGCAAGGGGCGTGCTGGCTGTCCTGCAGGCATCGTGTGGTCCTCTGTCTCATTTCAGCAGAGTGTGGTTATGCCAGCTGCCTTGCAGATTCTCACCCTGAGCTATTGGTAATTGCTAGTTTGGTGGGGCTGGTGTCATCACTGCATTAGCCACCACCCTGTCCCCAGCCCATTATAGCTCTTCCAGCTTTGGCTATAGGCTCAGACTTTCCTTGGAGTCACTTCAGAGAAGCCAACAGTTGAAAGGGTGGCTGTAGCACACTAGGGAAAATGCACCTCTCAGCCATATGTAGGTATTATAATTCTTTTAATTTTGTAGATAGGGAAATCGAGAATCCCAGCCTGAAAACTGTGATTTGAATGAACCCAGATCCACTTGCTCCCAAGGCCCCCATAAGCTTGCTTCTACCTCTTGTTCCATTCAGAGGATGAATTAGATTCATTCCAGCTGTTAGAGACACATGGAGCACACAGTCCCACCTGGCTCAGGTCGGTCGTTAGTTCTGCCCGTCCCGGCTCAAACCCTGTCTGCCAAGCATGAGCGGCACGGGGTGATCCCTTGGTTGACTGTCATGGCAGCGTCCTTCCCTCAGAACTAAACTTTCCTGCCTCGAATGAGTGGAGATCTAAATCTTTCACGCCTTCATCTGCCTTTATCTCCTTCCCAGCTACCCAGGGGACATGCCCTGTCTCTGGTTCTCCACTTCAGATGGACTGAAATCTCTTCCCATCTTTCTGCCTGGGCCAGTTTCTCTGTTGTCACAGAGGGGTTTGATGCCCAGCAAGTGAACAAGAGTTACCTCTTGTTTATAGGCAAATACTGAGTCAGTCAATGAATTTGCATACTGGGACATCAGCAAGATTGCAAGCCACGATAACAAGCACAGGGTACAGCTGGTTCCCAGGGAGGGTGGGGATGAGGCACAGCATGCTTACAAAAAGGGAAGGCTGCACTTCTGCCCAGTTCAAGGGGTGTGATCCCTCTACTGTAGCCAGAGATCTCCGTGAGGGAGGGCCCTGGCCACACCTCTGGCCCAGAGGAGAAGACGGCCACCAGACCAGCTGAACAGAGCTGGCTTGAACCATGCTCTGCTCTCTCCTTGCTGTTCTCCTGGGTGCCTTCTTAGGTGGGTGCCTTCCTCTCTGGCAAGCCCCCCTTCAAACCCTGTGAATCTGGTGTCTCGGGTCTGGGTTTGACTTTCTCGAGTGTGTTCCTCCAAATGCCTGGGCTTTACCCTTAGTAGCTGGAGTGCTGGGGCTGTCTCCCCCCTGGGGAAGGGGCTGCTCTCCTGGACTTCCCTGCCCCCATAACTCTCTGCACCCTTGGCTCTCGCAGTCCCATAATGGGCTCCGCAGTCCCATAAGGGCTCCGTGTGCCTGCCTGATGGAAGGGCTTGTCCAGGTGGAGGGCTGACGAGGCTGGGGGTGACTTCTATCTAACACTTTCCACTTCCCACAGGGACCAGAGCTCAGACCATTCACCAGTGGCCAGCTTTCAGGGTGCAACTTGTGGGCAGCCCACTCTCCCTGCAGTGCACCGTGAAGGGTGTCTCAAGCCCCAACCTGTACTGGTACCGGCAGGCTGCAGAGGGGTCTCTCCAGGCTCTCTTCTTCTCCATTGGTGTCGGCCAGGTGGACCCTGAGGGGCCCCAGAACCTGTCAGCCTCCAGACCCCAGGACGACCAGTTCATCCTGAGCTCTCCGAAGCTCCTCCTCAGTGACTCGGGCTTCTACCTCTGTGCCTGGAGTCTCACACTGAGCTGGGTGGGGCAGAGAACTGTACAAAAACCCCACCCCTCAGGAGTCCTCCCCACCCCCTCTACCCAGGAGCTGAGTGGAGGATGTTTGTGACTGGGTGTCTGACTGCCGAGACAATGTGAGAGCAACTGAACCAAGCCAGAGTTCTCCAAAAACACTTGACTAAGTTTTCAGGGTGATCACAAAAGATGTATATGTGCAGAACTTGTGAGTTACCTATGGGTAGTCATATTGCCCATGTATGGCTAACATGGGTCCTCGGCTCTTAGATTCCAACACTCCAAGTGTGCTGCTCCTTACCTGGTACTCTGTATCTCCCCAAATTCCTGTTAGTCTTCACTGGGAGAGGGGGTTTGTGCTTTCCTAGCTGAGAGAAGCAGGATCCACCTGGAGCAGGATGTGACAGGAAGTGAACTGGTGAACAAACACCTGCTAGGATGTGTAATTGGTTCATCTGACCACCCGGAGAGACTTCCGTCATTCCTCTTTCTGCTGAGACTGGATGTTTTGTGTAGCTTTGAACCTGAGGCTTTGAGCAAGGAAAGAAGCCAGGGTTTCAGCAGACTGTTCTCATAGAGAGTGGAAACATGGCTTTGTTAGTGTAAGAAACATACATTTAGGAATTTTCTGGAATTCTTGTTTTGGATTATAGTTTGCTTCTATATCCTGTTCTTCTTCTGTCTCTCATCCCTTGTAGTGAAAGAGAGAGCAGAGAGACAGATGGTGATCAGAGATACTACAGATTAAGGATAAAGAGGAGGGCGGGTAAAACTGCCGCCTGTAGTGCTGGCATCCCATATGGGCACCGGTTCGAGTCCCGGCTGCTTCACTTCCCATCCCACTCTGCTATGGCCTGGGAAAGCAGTGGAAGATGGCCCCCAAGTTCTTGGGTCCTTTCACCCACGTGGGAGACCTGGAGGAAGCTCTTGGCTTCTGGCTTTGGATTGGTGCAGCTCCTGCTTGTTGCAGCCATTTGGGGGAGTGGAACAATGGATGGAAGACCTCTCTCTCCTCTCTCTCTCTACCTCTATACCTCTCTACCTCTCTGTAACTACCTTTCAAATAAATAAGTAAATCTTAAAAAAAAAAAAAAGAGGGATGCATGTGTGATGGTGAAGCCCTAAAGATGAGAAATGACTTGAATGGAAATGAGGGAGGGGAAAGGGTTGACTGATGTGGATGGTGGGGAAGAGAGACCATGGTTACCTTGACAACCAAGCTTCCTCCCTCAACTCATTCATCCCTAATTTCCTGTTCTTATTAAGGGTTTCCTTTCTAATAATTTCCACAAGGGGGCACAAGAGGTCTTAAAACACTCTGCCCTGGCCTCATTTCCTCTAGGCAGTTCTGACAAGGGCTTACTTACAGTGTCATGTAGTCTGCAGAGGCAGATCTGAGACAGAGACACAGCATATCCAAGAGAGTCTAATGTCCAAAGATCTGCACTGCACTTTCTCCATCGACTGTGTGGTGATCAGCTGTGTGTGTGGACCCAGTGAGCCGCCACAGGGATCAAACAGAAAAAGGACGTGTACTCAAGATGGTGGCAGGCGTAGTAGTCACAGCATGGTTCAATCAAGGCATTTGATTTTCAGTCCAACTTTGCAGTTATCAAGACCTTCTGCTAGTTGTTTAACCTCTCATTTTCCTCACCTGTAAAACTCTCCTTGTTGAATTGCTAAGTACATTAAATGAGATGGTATTTAGCAAGCTGTATTACAGGGTCTAATTTTCAATTTTCTCTCTTTACTCTTACACAATATTTTGATAACAACCTACTCAGAAGGAATTATTTAAAAATAAATGAAAAACTATGCAGTTAATATTTGAAAAAACTAAACATGAGTGCTTGAATGACAAACCTTGCATCCAACATGGTGTCCATTCAGACTTTTTATGCTATGTCCTTCACTGAGTGCTTACTGTTGGTGTGATCCATTCAGATAGTGATCATTTGTGTTTTTTCCTACTGGGTTCCATACAGCCTCAGAATCTTTCTTAACCAAAAACATTCCAGGGAAATCACTACCTGTCAAGTGGAGTTGGTAGGAGACTTGAAGCAGAATTTTCTATTCTAATAAGACATTCAGAAAAGTTCTGGAAAATCTCACCAAGAAGATACAGTTTAGTGAGGTCTTTCCCTCTCCTTCTCCCTCTCCCTCTCCCTCTCCCTCTCTTTTCAGGAGGCTGAGTTTTAGATAAGCAAAATGTTATCCACAGCAGGGGATTCAAAATTAAGTGGAGACGTGGAGGCCCAGTGAATACTGTGAGATCTAAATCTAGAGCATTGCAGGTGAGGCAGGGAGAGAGTTGAAAACCCAACTTCAGCAAAGCAAGTTATCAGTCTCCACATTCTCCATTCTCTGTTCCTATTCCTGCACAAAAACCCACTTCCCATAACTGTTCCCAAGCATTTAGGATTCAGAATTCGCAGTCATCATTGTAGGGCACATGGGTCGCAAGCTCAGGGTGGCAGCTCCTGCTCAGGGTATGTATGGCCTGTTGGGAATCCATCAACCACGCTCACCCCTGCAGTCGGAGTAGGCTGGCCCCCAGCAGAGCTTCCAGGGCCCGGATGTTCCTCCTTTATTGTAGGTATGACCGGGTAACTATCCCCAAGCATCCCACTGCCTGGCCACTCGCACATGGAAGACCCAGGGCCATGTGCTGGTGTGAATCTGGAAAATGTTCCCTCAAGTCTTCACGTGGGTCTCAGCACTCCCCCCACCCCCCACCATGGGATTGACAGGGAGAGAGCAGGGGCCTCCTGATAGGTGCGGGAAGTTTGGGAAATCCAGGGATTGGAGGCTGGTGACACTAGTCCTGGGCTGCTGCTTATTTTGCCCCTGTTGTGTGCTGAGGGCTGAGTATGCCACAGCCCCCGAGCCACTGCAGGGCAGGCCTGACCTGCTGCTCTTTGCTCCTTCCTTGGGGGGTTTCTGCCTCTCTGGTTTGCCTTCTGTCCTGCATTGTGGTATTCCTCAATCTTCACCCAACACAGACTAGAAGATATCCATTCCCAGACCACACAGGCTTTGGCCGCTGGAGAGCAAAGCTCAGATACCCAGGGACTGTCCGTTGTGCAGTCTGGTGGTTACCTGGGGCTCCCTTTCCTGTGACTCATTAGCTCCTCTCATTACATGACTGGAAGGAAGTGGGAGGGTGCGTGTGGAGGGGGCTTGGGGGCAGGTGGGAGGATGAAGGTGCCTGAGTGATGTGGGACCCGTGCAACCCCAATGGGGTCAGAGCAGTTACTGCAGCTGTGTTTCACCCTCCACTATCTCCATGGCAGCCCGTGGATCTCGTGTGGAGCCTCTAACAGGTGTAAAGACGTGGTGGAGGGTGGGGCTGCACAGGGAGCCCAGAGACCTCAGCTCCCCTCCGGAGGCCCTCCCCTTTCCGCTCGGTAGTTCCATTTCCACTGCAGGGTGCTAGCCAGAGGCCCAGAGAGAACGGGCTGTGTGGGGCGGGGGTGGGAGCAGGATGTGGGGAGTGTGGCTCTCGCTGTGCTCAGAAGGGGAGTGGGGGGCGGGCAAGGGAGGCAGGACTCTCACAGGCTCCCCAGATGTGGGACCTGGTAAATGTCAAGCCACATCCTGTTGTGACTCCCCAGCAGGTGGCTGTTGACACTTGGTGCTGATGTTACTCAGAGATAAGCAGCCTGGCCACTTGTCCTCCCTTCCCCAGTTGCTTGAACAACCTGCAAGCCCCCAGCCTGCACCTCTGCACTTCCTGATCTTCGACTCAAGGCCCCTCTCCTTTATAACATTATTTTTGTCTTCTGATTCACAGCCCTGGACCTCCTTGAAGGAGAGCCAGGTTATAGATATCCAGGCTCTGGGGTTTGCACTGTCTTTTTACAGTAAGAGACCCCGCCAAGGCTGTGTCACACATGCGTGTGATTTGGGGCTGGGATGAGCTTGGGTTCCTGAGTTACCATCTCCTCTGTGCTTGGGGCCTGCAGACTTGGAGCCACTGCATCTGAAGAGAAGAGCCTGAATGTACCCATTTCGCAGAGGAGAGCATAGAAACCCAGAGAATAAAAATGAATTGCCCATGGCCATGCAGCCAGGGGTCACGAAGGACCAGAACTGAATTTGCCATGTTTTAGAAGCTCCTGGGTTTCAGATAAAGCTTAGGGAATGCAGCATCTGTATGGAGCCAGGACCTTACTATGAATGTTACAAGTCACTTGTGTAAGAATCAATAAGGCAACGTGATCCCGAGATGGCATGAAGACATACAGAGAATCGTAGAGAGGTTGGAGAGCTGAGCAGAACAGATGCTATGGAATTAAAGTTTTCCTGTTCCTTTCCTTCCATGGAAGGGGGAAGTGTGGCTTACAGCAGCCATGTGGAAAAGACCTAGGGCTCAGCCCAAAGGGAAGGGAGGTCTGCAAGTCGGTGGGATGGGGTGGGTACAAATAGTTGAAAAGATGCCCTAAAGAAGCCAACAGCAGGCACTAAGAATGCTCCCTCTTTACCCCATGTAGGTCAGAACCCCCCAGGTGCTTCTCCGTTTTGGCAGAGGTGACTTTTAAGAGTAGTAGAGGGACAGAGACAAACCCACAGGTTTTCACGAGGGAGGCAGCGGCTGTGGAGGGTAGGAAGTCCTCAGAGCTGTGCCAGAGGAGAACCAGATGGAAAGAACTGTCTTCCAGTTAATGCAGAGGATAAGAAGAGCTCCTGTTTATGGATACTGTGCTGTAAGCTTAACATGTTGTGGGGATTAAGTAAAACCACTCTACACAGTTAGAATTTTGATTGAGCCCATGTTACAGAAAGGAAAGCTGAGTCACAGAGATGGTCCTTGCTCGAGGTCACGTAGCAGATAGCGACAGAATGAAGTTTTAAACCCAGGGTTGTTTGGCTTTGCTCCCATCATGTTTTCATCCACCTACTATGTGTTTTTTTTTTCCAAGCTTTTAAAGATTCTAATTATTCTCTCTGTTGCGGATTTGTGGATTCTTGCCGGAAGGTGGGCACCCTAACAGTCTTGTGAAAGGCTCTCCTGGGCATAAAACTCTGACCAATGAGGGGTGCTAGAGTGTGGTTTGGTGGCATGGGATTCTTCAGAGAGCTGTCCCCTGACAA